GGTTCAGAAAGGCAGGGTCTTTGACCAAGGAGTCTCAATTTCTCAAGGGGGTGTGAGAACCTGAGGCCACAATCAAAGGAACTGGTCTTTGAAAAGGAAGCATGAGGCAGGCTGTCGATATCCAGGAGGGAATAGCTCTGTGAGCGCTTACCTATGCCAGGGTCCTGGCAGAGACACTGAAGATTCTCCTGGGCCAGCAGCTCATGGGAGTGGTCCCAAGTCCCACCATTGTGCATTCAAAAGCACTGATCCTCTAACATTAAACATAAATCCAACAAAACAAGGGCTCTGGGATGCCCACTCCAGACCTGGACTTGTAAGGAGGGCAGAGCACATGTTGACTCTGAGAAGACGCCCAGTCTCCCCTCTCTCTACCTCTGCCCCTTTTCTCACACCCCTATACTGGATCAGTCCTCTAGCCCACCTTCTGTTCCTGTCCCAGACCGAGCTGCCCCAGGAACAGCAGTTAAGTTTCCTGCGCTGACCGTCCCCACCCGCTCCAGGCACAGCTGCAGGAAACAGTCTCAGGCGAGCCTCTTGGGGATCAGGAGGCTTCGCGTGCACGGAGGTGGGGTGGTGGCATTATCTCTTCTTTGTCTGGAACCCTGCCTGTCTGGATCTTCACCCCACCCCCACCCATCACCCCTCACCCCCACCCCCCTTCGCCTTGGAGCAGGAAGATCGTAACAGCGCTGAGATACCAGAATGAGTTAAGGATCCCTCTTTCGCTCCACCAGTGGCACGCAGACTGAAAGTGACTAGATTTCGCGGGGGGGGGGGGGGGGTGGGGGGGCGGGGGGGGGCGGGGGGGCGGGGGGAGCGGCTCTGTGTTCCCACAAGGGGGCAGGGGACAGGGGTGGAGTGAGGATGCCTTGAGGGGGCAGCAAGTGACATCTCCACCTCCAGCCCCTCTCATTGAGTTCAGGCCTGGACACCAAGATTTTAAAGTATTTGAGCTAATAGGGAGGGCCCTGAGGCTAAACTGTCCCCATTTTGCAGATGGGAACCTGAGGCTGAGGCAGGATGCGACTTGCCCAAGGTCACACAGGGAGTCCGGGCTAGAGGAAAGACTGTGGGCCGGAACCTTTTCTCAGGAGGGTCTCTCCAGAGCCACTCTCAGGACGGCAGGATGGCAGGGTGGCGGGCGTTTGGGAGTGGGCATGGGGTTACGATACCAAATCAAAGCACCCAGCGAGGACGTACCCGCGCAAATGGCTTTCCTTCCCATATGTGGGAGGCTTGGCCAGAGCCCGGGGAGCGCTGCCGCGGTGGGACTGGACGCCAGACGTTACCGGAACAGAAACAGCTCCGATTCCCATTCCATACAGAAGGGCAGGGTCTGGCTGCCTAACCTCTTTGGCCAGAGCAACCCCCATCGCACTGTGCGCTGCGGTCAGAGGAAGCCTCCCTCTGGGTCGGAGTTAATTCACCGCCTCCGGGGTGGACCGGCCTCCGGGGACTTCTAACGCCAAGAGGCACCACCAGACCTGGTATCCTGGCCACCTTGCCCAACCTTACACCACCGAACGGCGGCTCGGAGCGACCCCATGGCCAAGCCCAGCTCCTGCGACTCGGTCCAGCCTCCGGAAGCTCGTGAGCCCACGAGTCTGGGTCCAGGAGAGAGGGGAGCAAGGAACTAGTCCCGACGCCGCCACCCTGAAAGTGGTCGGGCCTCGCTCTGCGCAACAGTCGCGTGGTTTCATCCACCCGCGCCCCCCCCTCCCAGCCCAGCAGGACTTCGGGCCGGGGCCCTGTGCTAACTAAGCGCTGGAGGCAGGAGACCGGGAAGGAAACCTTCTGGGAAGAAACCCAATTTATGTAAATGGCATTGCCGTTGAAAGTTTTGCTACGGAAAGAAAGCCCGTTGAGAAGGATGTTTGAGAAGCCAAAACACCCTCAGAGAGACACCCACCTCAGTCCTGGCCACAAAACCTGCTGCACTCGAGCACACTGCCTCCCGCCTCCTCTCTCTCTCTCTCTCTCTCTCTCTCTCTCTCTCTCTCTCTCTCTCTCTCTCTCGGTGTCGGCGGTTTGGGGCTGCTATAGCTCTGTGGGCCCGAGACAACTCCCGCAGCCCAAGTCCAGCCCATTTCCCTGCTCTTGCTTCAGGCAAAGCGAGGCCCAGTTCAGTTAAGGCAGAGGTGACACAGCCATCGCTGTCCTAACTTGGTGGGTCCTCTCTAATCCTCATTTCAAAAATATCAAGGAGAGACAACAACCGACGCCAGGGGTCAGAGCTGATTCCTGCTCCTGGATCAGGGGTCTGCTCTGCCCAGCCCAGGTCCATCTGTAAGAATCATCCAAGTGAGTGACAAAAGGGAAGAGTTTAACCAGGTTTCTCAAGAACCATGTCCATGGTCTGTCAGGATCTGTTTTCGTTACCAGTGCACACCGGAAAGCCAGGTGCTACCGGGCGCCTCTGGGACTACCTTTCTCTGTCTAAAGACTTTAGGCGGTGGGGCCCTTCTCCTAGGGCTCAGTCTCCCCATGTATCTAATAGGGAGAAGAGCCCCTGAGATGAGGCCTCTCAAGGTTCTTGAAGATGGAGATCCAGGGTTAGAGAATATTGTCCTCATTCATTCACAGGCTCATTCTAGAGCTGGAGGGCTTGATGCCATTGCCTATCCTGGTCTCCCTGGCCTTGGGGAGCCTTAACTCACACAGCAGCTGGCTTGCCCAATTGTAGTTTTTCTCCAAGGATGCCCATGGTGGCAGCAAGGGGTAGGGGGTGTTCTCCCAGCAGGAATGAGGGGTCAGAGAAGTCCTCCACAGGTCCCTGCCCCTCTCTGGACCTCAGTTTTTCCTTTTTGGTACCACAAGGAAAAAACTAGATATGTAAGTGGCTCCCTGCTCAGGGTTGGCCTCAGCAGATCTTGGGCTTAAAGCTAGAAGGGCATAGAGTCCTTCCCCCTTGAATAAATGGGGAAACTGAGATCAAGAGACAGAAGGGAATACAGTTCTGAAGAAAGGCAAGGGAAGGTCAAGAGGCCCATAAAAGGCCTCAAATTTAGGAGAGGGAGGAAGTCCACGTACAAACCCCAAAACAAGACCTGGATGCCCCCAGCCTGTCCAGCTTCTTGGCTCTCCTCTTCCCTAGTGGAGCCCGGGCTGGGGCAGACAAGCAGAAGTGCAGTGTCACCTGAGATGTTCCCAGCGACCTAGGAAGGGCGCCCTTACTCCAACCCGTCAATGAAGAGGGGGCGTGGCTCTTCAGAACTTTACACTCTGTCCAGCCTAACTGCCCCTCCCCAACCCCACCCAGACCCATCTCCATGAGGAATGAAATGCTTTATTGATTAAACGATTATTCAGGCAATTGAACTAATCAAAGAGCCCATCGACCGCCATGAATTACATTCTTTGTAGACCTTGGTCTGTCGGGAAAGGCAACAGGGGCCAGCCCCTGAACACTCACCCATTCCCAACACAAACACAAACCCTAGTCCCAGCACAGGCACCTCTGGGAGTCCCACCTACTCAGGGACCCACTGGGGAAAAGAGGGAAGAGTGAGGATTGAGCAGAGGGGGTTCCCCTTCCTGCACTCTCAACCTGGGGGATCCTCTTCAATTCTGCCTCTTTGATTTCTGCCCTAACGTCTCTTCAGTCACAATTTTGGAAACACAGCTAAGCCCTGGGAATTGTCCTAGGTTTGGGCTATAAGTTCACCTCTCTCCGTCTGCTTTCTGACCTCTATTTAGGGCTGAGGAACAGATGGGAGCTCACAGATCCACAGGAATGGGGAAAAGGGAGTTCTTGCCTGGGCCAGGAGTGTGTTTGGGTGTGGGTTAGCACACTTGGCCTAAAGAGTAAAAGGCTCCTATACCCAGCTTTCACCTCAGGGCAAACAGAGGCTTCCCGCTGCCTGCCACCTCCTCTCAGATGTAAACCCATCTTGCTACTCACTGCCTGGCCCTGTGGGAGGCACACCTGGTTCTGTGTCAGAAAGGCCTGTCCGCATACCAGCACCAGAACTGGATGCCGTACTTCTGCTCCCCTCCCTTGGAGGGGCACCCACAGATGAAACCTGAGCACACCACACACACACACACACACACACACACACACACACACACACACACGTCAGAGGCTTGTCTAAGTGAAGGCGAAGGCAGGCCGGGGGTCCCCAGAAATGTCTCAACTAGCATATAGGCTTGCCTGCTCGCTCACCTGCCAATGCTGTGCCTGCTGCTGGAGACCCTTTTATACAAATGGTAGGCTCAACAGTGCCCACAACACACTGAGGGTCTGTGCACACACCCGGAATTCACACTTTCACTCCTGGTTCTCCTACTAGAATGGGACCTGAGCCTGACCAGGCTTAGCACAACAGGACCCCACAGGCCCTAGACCCATCCCTGTACCTAGAGGCTGGCACTTCTGTGTATATTGGCATGTACACAGTGAACAGCTGTTGACATGTACACATCTTTCTCACTTCCAAAATTACTTAGAATATGACAGATGACCACAGACGCTTTAAAAAGAGTAGATACACACTCAGAGACTTATCCAAGTTATATATATGACACACATTTTGGATACAAAAGAACAGTATCCAGGAACACCAACTCATAAACACACGAACACATTTATGAATATAAAGACACACAGCCACATCAACTCGTGGACACACACTCAAACATTTGAAAACCCGGTATACAGGGACACACAAACGCATTGTCACTCTTGCACACTCTGAACCCATATGTAAACACACAGACCCAAACAAACTTTCAGACCCCCCCCCCGCCCCCCCTCCCAGAGACAACTACATAAATATTCAGAAATAGAGGAAAAATAGGCAACCTCTCTCATACTTGGAATGATGCAGAAGTCCGTGAATAGACTGGCGAGAAGACACACAAACGTGCCACAGACAGACAGGCAGTCAATCCTGGCAAAAATGAGGCCCCCCTCCCACAGGGCCGAAGACCCGGGAGGACCAGCACCCGGCTGGGTCCCGGAGTTAGCGCGCCTGGAGCGGGTATCGCGGTCCTACCTGTCCTGCCGGTCCGAGGAGTTGGATAATTTTTCTCTAAATCCATTTTGATTTTTCAGAACTTGATGGAATGGACAGGGGGGGAAAAGTTTCCACTTTTTTGTGCTTCTTTTTTTTTTTTTTTTTTTTTTTCTGGTGTCAGGGGCCGCTCACAGGTCGGAATAATTCAAGCCTTCCGCTCCCCCGCCGAGCTGGGGCAGCTGATCACTGAGCTGAAACTAAACGTTTTAGGTGGAAAAAAAAAGCGTCCGAAGGCACCGTGAAATGATTAAGGAACTAAAGAGCTTCTCGCCATGTGAGATCATGTCCTGTTCTCGCCAACATCACAAGATGTCCCCAGACACGCCGCGCCCCCAGCGTGCGGCCCCGCACGGCCGGCCCAGAGCCGGGCAACGTGTCCGCGCTGTGCAGAGGGGCCTGCTCCGCTGGCCAGACGGGACGGGCCGGGCCGGAACAGCGCTGAAGGCCGGGAGAGCAACAGTGTCGCAGCCACGCCGCCCTGGACTTTTATAAGGGGTTGTGGGGGAGGAGGGAAGGAAGGTTTCAGAAAGCCGGGAGCTAGCCCGCGCACTTACGGGAAGGGGCCGACCAAAGACGAGCCTGGAGCCCCGGCCTCGAGGCAGCACCTTCTACAAACCCCTGCGACTTGGTATCGCGGCCCTCTTCGCGGTGCGCGGGGCCGGTGACCCCTCTGGGTGCACACCCGGCTGCGAAGGCGGATGCAGGCCTGGTTTTTTGTTTTTAAAGAAATTAACCAGTCTGCCAAGCAGGTGCTTTTGAAGGGGGTGCAAAAGCAGGAGATGTTGCCAAGCATCCAGTTTCCTCAGGCTCACCCCTAGGGCGGCGCCCGCCCCCAGAGCGCCCAGCTCCCCACCCCCACCCTAATTTGCAGCTGCTATTGCTATTGCCATTGCTGGGTCCCTAACTCTAGAGAAGTACGAGAAGCCTGAAGCCTCCGCGACCTACTCAGCCCCCTGGTCGCAGTTCTCCCCACACCACGTCTCATTCTGGCCCGTAGCACGGTGGTTAAGATCTGAAATGCTGGAGATAAAATCCGGCCCTCCGCTTTGGAGCACCGGGCTGAGCAGAACCATCTCAGGGGGTCCTGGAGACGGGCAGGAGTCCCGGACCCCTGACCCCGGCCCATAAATGGAATCCCTTGGCCCTCAAGCCCCGAGACGTTGCGTTGTCCCTGAGCCCCTGGACTTGATTCCAGAGGGGAAATCAGCCCAAGAGAGACCGGGTAGAAGGGTGGCATGTCCACTCGCGCTCTTCGGCCCCGGCTCAACACTTCCCTCCTCTGACCCTCCCCAACCCCGAGTCCAGATGCTCGGATCCGGCACTGGAAGCCGGCGGGGTCCCGCTGCGGGGTGGTCGAAGGGGCGCGGTTCTCCGGGGCGGGGGAGCGCTCCACAGAAGGACTGTTGGCCCGCCGGACAGGGGCAGTTTCGGAAAGTGAATCGTCCTCAGCGAGGGTGTTGTTTGCTTTTTGGAGGGGGTGGTCACGAGGCTGGGCCGCAACCGGGGGGGAAAGAGCCCAGAGCTGGAGAAAGGGGGTGGGGGCGCGGCGGGAACCGGACATCGCTTATCCACGGAGCGGATTTCGCCACAATCGGAAACGTGGCTGTGGATTCCCGGGCGGCCCCCCCGACCAAGTAGTCTGCTCAGTCACCCTCCGCCGCCTCCTTTCTGCAGCCTGCAGGTCGGGGCCCCTGCCCGGCGGTTTAATTTGGGGGCATCTCGGAGCGCTCCACGCTTCCCCTCCGCGGCCGGGCCCGGCCTCGGCTTCCCGCCTCCGGCTCCGCCGCGCGGGGAGGCTGCGTCCTGGAAGAGAGGCCTGTCCGCACCTCGGGATGAAAAGCCCGCCCGGAATTGACATTTCACCCCGGGCTGGGGGCGGGAATCGGTCGGGTTTCCTTTTGTTTTGTTTTTCTATTTAGAGGGTTTGTTTGGTTTTGTTTTCTGTGAGTTTTTTTTTTAATTATGTATGAGACTTTTGTTTCGGGGTTTTGCGTATTGTTTTTTCGTGGATTTCATTTTAACGGGCTTTGCTCTGTGAGTCGTGATCTTTGGGGTGGGTTTTGATCTTGTGTGTGTTTTTTAAACTTTGTTCTTAGGGGTTGTCTTTTTGTGTGTCGTTTGAAGTCTGTCCCTTCTGCGTGGTGCTTTGACCTGTTTTGATTTTGCATTAGTGGGTGTCGTGTGTGTGTGTGTGTGTGTGTGTGTGTGTGTGTGTGTGTTTTGTGTTAGATGAATTTTTGTGTTTATGTTTTGTTTTCTTCGATTTTGATTTTTTTACGAGCTGTGCGTTTGGATGGGGATCTGGGTTTGCGTTTTCGTGTGTTGGCTTTAGTTTTTGTGTTTGCGGGGTGCTTTGGTGAGTTTTGCGCGTGTGTTTTGGCTTTGTGGGGCTTCTGGATTAGGGAGGGGACACAGGACACTACTCCGTTCCTATTCTCAACCCAGGAAGGGCAAAGGATTAGGCCAAGCATCACGAATGGTGGGTTTGCCTGGTTCCGAAATACCTGACCCCCGCACCGTCGCATCGTATTCTCTGAGTTCCAGACCAAGGCAAAAACAATTGTGCGTTCCCGAGGGGGCGCCCGCCCTTACTTCTGCTCCTGCGCGGGTCCTGTGGCTCCAGCGCCCAGGTCAGAATTCACAGAGCCCGCTCCCTCCTCCCGGGATACGCAGGCCCAGCCGCCGTCCTGTGGCCCACCGGGTCCGCTGTGGGTTTCTCTCCTCTCGCTTCTGACCTCCCCGACTTCCCGCAGCGTTAGACCGAGGGCCGGCTCCCCGCCGCGGAGCAGGTGGCAAGCCTCTTCGGAGCACACGGAATTGACGCTGCGGCTCTAGAGATACCGGGCAGGGGCTAGGGATCCGTGGAGTCTAGGAGCAGAGAGGCGTCGGGATCCCAGGAAAAGCCCCTATTTAGATTGTCTGCAGCCCTAGAATGCTAGAAACCCAACTCCGCTCAGCTTTCGGTTTGGAGAGCCTTGCCCTGGTTTGCAACCACAGACAGAGAAATCCACACTCGGAGCTGACGCACTCAGCTAGCGAATGAGAAAGAGGGAGCCGGCGCATTGGTAGCCGCGGCCTGCATGGCAGGACCGGCGCCGACACCACCTCAAGGGGAAGCCAAACTATAGCGCCCGGACATGTTCCAGGGACGGAGTAGGCTTCCTCTCTGTCCACATTGCCGGAACTTCAACCTCGATACACGTGGACTTGTTTCATGCTGCACCGGGGAGAAAAGAGACAAATTTAGAGGCAGAAAGACATGCTGGCTAGACCGGCAAGGGAATGCGGGGAGAACCTATAGAAAAGGAAAGTATGGAGAGTGAGGGACAGCACGGAGGCCGACTGGAGGCACAGGAGAGGGGCCGGCGCGCAGCCCCTCTGGCCTCCCGCGCACTCTGGCATTCTCTGAGCGGGAGAAAGCAGGAACCCAGAACAGAGTGACAGGAAGAGAAAAGAGTCGCAGAAGGGGTTGGCCTAGGCAGGACGCGAGCTTCCCTCCAGCCTGGACGCTGCAGTCTAGGGAGGGGGAGGCCGAAGTCGCGAAGCGAGAAGCCTCGGCCAGGAGACACCCGAAGACTCCAGGGCTCACGGAGCCGGGATCCGGGTCCAGTTCCAGCCAGGCGCCCCGCCCCCACCCCATCCCGAAACACCGGGCCAGGAATCCAGCAATGATTGGGCCGCCGCTGGGCCTCTCTCTGTGCGAGCCCTGGGAGAAGCCGCGGTGAACGACCCTGGCCTTGGGGCTCTGGGCTGACAGTGGGTGGGAGCCGACGTCCAGGCAGCAGGCGAGGAAGAGGAGGCCCCGCCCTAAAGCTGGGAGCCCATTTCTGCGAGCGGCTGAGGCCGCAGCTGGACTAGCGGGATTTGGGGTCCGCGCCGTGAGTGCGCACGTGGCACGCACCTTGGGCAGGCTGCGCCCCTAAAGCCCAGCCCCGCCCCGCCCCGCTTCGTTTGCTGGGTCTGAACCGGTCAGGATTGAGGGTGGACACTGAGTCTCGGCGAGTAGGTCCCTCTCTGTACCAGCTTGGGGTGTGCTGAGGGCTGGCGCCTAGGTGGATGGGGGAGCTTCTTCACTCACATCTCCCCGGGCACAGAGCGCAAAAAAAGCGCGCAACGCAGGCTAGTCGCCGCCGCAGTTTTCCAGTGGCGCCCTCGGCGGAAAGGGGCTGAGGGATGGTTTGGATCAAAGCATCCATCTCAGCGGCCAGTAGGGTCCTCTGCGCACATAGGGCTTCGAGCACTGGCTCGCTGGAGCACCATGTGCTAGCGGCAGGCCACCCAGAAATATTCGGGTACCGCTGGAAAATTCGATGGGGCTGTGTTCGGGAACCTGGTGCTCATGGTGGGTTACTGCTATTGTTTTTTTTACTGTACTGCCTTTCTTGCTTTAATTACAAGTTATTGAGAGAAGCCTCAAAAAGCGCATACCTGAGTCTTTTAGATGGGTTCATTTAAACTCAAATCCAGTAATTCAATTCAGTTCCACGACTGGTTTCCAGCGCACAGGTACCTATGGCAGACGTCAAGTGTATGCCATATACATATGCACAGAGATGATTTGAAGGCAACTCTTGAAGAATTTTCAGATAAAATTCACTCTCTTGGAGTTACATTAAAATATATGAATATGGAAAATAGACAGTCAGTTATATTTAAAATTTGCCAACACATCCCAGCCATCCACTATTACCTAAAAATCCAAAACGAAGCATTGAAAAGATTTACAGGCCCTCTGATTGTTTAACATTGAAAACAGTGTGAATGAGTTTCTTATATTTCCTTTCAAATTCCACAATGTCATAATTTGTAAGTAATAAAACCATATGTTGCTAAAGAAAGTTTACATGTAGGATGCTTTATTTCTAACCATATTTATATGAAGAACTATTAGCTCTCCCCACCCTTTTTCTTCTGATATTTCTGTGTAATGTGAGCTTTAAATATTTATGCACCAGCCTAGACGTGCATTTATCTAATATGCTTCAAACTAATAACATTTTAATGTGATATAATTTGATTCCATGAAGTATTGGGACGTAGAGGAACCTACTTTCAAGCGATTTTGAGTGAGTGCACAGGTTAAGTTCTTTAAGTTTTTGGACGC